TCTGACTCTCCTCCAAGAAGGTTCAAAGAGGCTCTCTAAGGTCTGGAGGATTAAGATAAGAGTTGTCTTCCTCACAGATATGCTTGAAACCTTGTCTTCTTTCTCTTTCCTTTTAAGGTAGAGTCTTGCCATGTAGCACAGGTTGGCTTGAAGTCATGGTCTTCCTGCCTCAAACTCCCAAGAGCCAGAATAAAAGGGCACGCATCATCACACCCTGACTGAACGTGTTTTTAAAGATATTGGTGAAAAGCACTATATATTAAAAGCTTGTTGTTTTCCGGGCCTTGAGGTAAATATGTTCCATATATTATGTCATTTATCCTTCTTCAGGAATCTCCCATGTAGAATAACAAACCCTTTGAACCACACAGTGTGGATGGTGTGGTGCTGACTGTTCTGAAGCTCTGGCTGTCCTAAGAGGATGTGGGCATCCAGGTGTCAAAGCTGCTAACTTCACAGCCAGAGAGTGAAGAAAAGAAGAACCCCCAACTGCAAAAGAAATTCTGAGCATTCAAGGTATCAAGGTCAAGGTCAACATCAGCAGGGTGTCTTCTAGGACACCAAGATGTCCTAGCAGAAGGTGTTCTGTCTATAGAAGGCCCAAGAGTCAAACTCTCTCGCTCTCCTCCCCACTCCCACCTCCTTTGCTGGCTCTAGCTGCCAACCCCAGCTTGTTGACAGACTCTCAGTGCTTCCTCACAGCCCCACCCCACTCCTGTGGCTGAATTAACTTCAAAGCATCCTGTTCTTCTGCAACTATTGGTCTCAGCCTTGCAGCCATGCGGGTGGGGAATGTGTGGAAATACCCTGCCTTACCATGATCATTTGGGTCTCTGGGGTGGGCGCCTAGCAGCCTTGTCCTGTTTTGGTTTTGTTCTGTTATTGGTGGTGGTGGTGGTGATGGTATGTGGTTTGGTGTGTGTGTGTGTGTTGTGGATGTATGCACTGGGTGTTGTGTGTGTGTTTATGTATTGTGATGTATGCATTAAAGTGTGTATGTGCAGGAGTGTACACTGGAGTGTCCATGTGGAAGATATGTACACTGTGATATGCTTATGAAAAGGTAAGGAGGGGATACGTTTGCTGGAGGTGTAGTCAGGTGTGGGGGAAAGGGGGTGCCTCGGCAGGCCCGCGCTGAGGTATCCCTTCCCCTTGAGGGACCAGCCACACGACTCTATAGTATAGTATTATTCAGTGAGGGGAGTCAAGAGGGTAATAGAGGAAGAGAAAGGCAGAGAGGGAGAGGGGGAGGGGAGGGGAG